AATTGATAAGAGAATCATATTTATGGATCAACTCAGTATCACTTTAATTTTTTCAATCGTGGTTAAGACAAATTTAAGAATTGTCAAGGAAGAATATTAGTGCTTTTTTCTTTTGCTGGCTGAAAGCTATTATTAATAGCAGGAAATCAATGGGGCGAGAGATGAAAGAAACTAAAGATTTGGGGTTTAATATGAAAAAGTCCTGCGTTAGAAGAAGGAAATTTTATAAAAATTTGGGGATTTAATTGTAAAAAACTTTATAGCCCGTTAAAAGCCCAATTATCATCTGATGAAGAAGAACTGTAATTCATGATAAAACGGTGTCGTTTGATTCGTCTTCCATTTACTTGTTCGTGAACTTGTAGGAACAGATTTATGTCGTTCGATTGCTTTTGAAATTGGGAAAATTCTCTACAACTCTTTGAAATCGAAGGGAAGAATTTCAATCGATTCTTTATCCGGAAGGTTTTGAGGATTCGAAATTTGCGTCGGAGAGTAAATGGATGAAGACGGAGAGAATCGTGTTGTTGCTGAACGATCCGGTGAGGTTGATTGGATAAGCAATTTGCCAGATTCGTTGCTATTTCAGGTACTCTTGAATCTTCCAACGAAGGTTGTGGTTAAGACTAGTGTGTTATCACATAGATGGAGAAATCTCTGGAAATGTGTACCTGGTTTGGACTTGGACATTGGTGATTTCCCAGAGCATGACTTATTGGTGAGTTTTGTGGATAGCTTTCTGGGTTTTAACTGCGATTCGTGCTTACATAGTTTCAAGTTAAAGTACCATTGTTATGGGGATGAGGAGCCTGAGGTTGAGATTGGTCTTATCAGGCGGTGGATCGACACGGTTGTTAGGCGGAAAGTTGAACATCTCCATGTTTTAGACGATTCACCTGAGAGTTGGGAACTCCACATTTTTCCAACACTTTACACTTGTGAGAGATTGGTATCCTTAAAGCTCTCTGGACTAACCTTGCCTAGTCCCAAGTTTATCTCTTTACCTTTTCTCAAAGATATCCATCTAATCATAGTCAAGTTTGCCGACGATTTGGCATTAGAAACGTTGATCTCGCAATGCCCACTACTCGAAAGCTTAGATATTGAGAGGAGTTTCTGTGATGATATAGAAGTTTTACGTGTGCGTTCTCAGTCTCTGTTGAGCTTCACTCATGTTGCGGACAGTACTGAGGGTAGGGTTGAAGATCTTGTAGTTGAAATTGATGCTCCCAGGCTTGAGTTCCTGAGGCTCAGTGATCATCGAACTGCAACTTTCATACTAAATAATCCGGCTTCCCTTGTAGAAGTGGATATCGATATTGTGTTTAACTTTAGCTATGCAAACAAGTTTGATCCAAATGATCTACCAAAGAGAAATATGATTCGTAATTTTCTCCGCGGAATATCTAGTGTCAAAGATATGATCATAACTTCAAGTACTCTTGAGGTAACCTATGTTGAATTCGCTATTTGAGTGCTTAAATTTTATCCCATAAGCCTTTCCTGATATTTCCCCCCTTTGCAGATCATCTATGATTACTCAAGATGTGAACCACTACCCTTATTCCGTAACCTATCTTCCTTGCGTGTCGAGTTCAACGGCTACAGGTGGGAAATGTTGCCATTCTTTCTTGAGAGCTGCCCGAATCTAAAATCTCTTGTCGTGGTAAGGATTTTCTACTGAACCATGAAATTCCTATCTTGAGATGCAAATTCCTTTCTTGAATTTGTGTCTCTTTCTCTCGGTTATATTGTACTTGCAGGGATCTACTCAATATCGGGATAAGGAGGGAATTACTATTTTTTCCGGACCTCGGTGTTTCCTATCATCTCTCGAATACGTTGAGATCGAAAGGCCATTGAAAGGGGAGGCAATGGAGATGAAATTAGTGGGTTACTTACTTGAGAACTCGACTGTTCTCAAGAAACTAACCTTATGCTTTGATGATTCCATAAAGAAAGAAGAATCTGTCATTTTCAGAGAACTTCTTACCATTCCAAGACTCTCTAGCTCATGCCAAGTTGTTGTCCTTTGATGATGATCCTCACAGTCATCACCAAGGAACATACGAGGTTACATGTGTTTTTTTTGGGGATAAAATCTTTAAGTACTGAGTTAATTTGAATTCTTTGTTATTTATTAGTTTATGATGATATATTGAAGTGTTGAAGTTCGTTAGAGAGTCATATTTGAATTGAAGTATCACTCCAATCTCCGTCGTGGTTAAGACATATGCATTGGATGTTGTCGAGGGAGAAAAATAGTGCTTTCTTCTTTTGTCTTGCTGAGAGCCTAATATTAATAGTAGGAAAACAACAGGGCGAGAGATGAACGAAACTAAAAATTTGGGGGTTAAAAAATGTAAAAGTCTGAAGAAACTTTGTACAGTCCGTTAGAGAACCGTATCGATAGAGGTGAAAATTTGAATCAATTTAAACCGAATGGATTTCTGATACGTAATTGGAAACAATTCTCGAAATCCCAATACGTTCTCTACCTCATGCCAGGTTTTAGTTCTCTGATCCTCCTAGTCGTCAATGTCTTTGAGTACTTTTTGTTGATTCGAACTCTATGTTTTTTTTTTTTTTTGGTCATGATTTTGATTTCTTGTAGCTTGTAAGAGAATCATATGTTTGGTACTTTGTGTTAATGCTTTCCTCTTTTGCCATTCCAAAATTCTAGCTCATGCCAAGTTTGGAACAATTTGCACAAAGAAAAACGTACACAGCCCATTATAAACCCAAACAGTGTTACATTTATCCTTTTTCTTAATCCTATAAGTCTTTTTGACATTGATAATAACCATGGAGAATTAAATCTATGGAATAACTCGAGGTTTGTTTCTCAACTCTATTATCATTCTTCCGGAGCACTAAAAATCTATGGAAATTATTAAGA